AGAGGAAAGAGCTGGGAAACTGGCTCTTTGGGAGTGCAAGGAAAGGGAAGATTTTTGAATATCTTTTTTACAATGCTTTATATCTTTTGGAGTCCTCTCCCTAAAGAAAGACATTTAGAAGAACAATGGCAATGATCAGGCTCTTCAAGGTCAGATGTGGAAACTTCTGCTTCTGAATCTGTACCAGCCACCTGAGGAGGAGTGGTGAGGCCACAGAGCAGGCTGCAATGGTGTGTTGGGATTAAGAAATGGGGGAAGATGATTCAAATGATGTCACTGTTTTCTTTCTAACCGTGTGTCACTATCTGCTTCATGTTTCAAGTCCTTTAAGGTGTATAAAGAAACAGGCCCTCGCTGCCAGCGTAGGGCTTAATCTATTTCTTCAGAAGACACAGGACTCTTGTTGTTAACATACATGATTAAAAGTTGGCAGACCCAGTCTTCATCTGAGCCAAATTTTGGCCAGAAAATGGCAGGTTTTAAAATTGGTTCTTGAGTCCAGAGGAAACAGCAATATTTAATCATTATTGTTTTTTTCTTAATGTTTAGTATGTTCATTTTCTTTCCAGTGCTTTAACATTGAGCCCTAGAGGGCTATCAGGAGGGATTTGATCACTTTCACCTCTTTTATTTCTAGTTCTACTTCCTATTCCAGTCTTACTAGAAGCATTTCCCATGTTGTATACTACATAGGCCCAACTCTTCACACTAAAGATGTCTTGCCTATTCTTTGTCCCATGGGAGGCTCAATCCCCCAGATCCTTCAGAACGGGGATATCTTGTCAGTCCTGTCTCTAGAGGCTTGCTAAGGCTCAACCTCATGTACTAGACGTTTCTTGCCTAATTTATCCTCGGAGGTTTTTCTCCCTCCCCTTCCAGAGATCTCTTTAACTTTTCTTCCATACAGCCACCACCGCAAGCAGTGATGCTTGTGACCATTCACACACACTCAGCCTTCCAGAAGTTGACCACCAAGAAAATACTTTGTCGCCCTCTTGTGGCATTTCTTACCTTGGCCTGTGCACAAGGTTGCCTGGCTACCACGGTTCTGCAAGCTTTCCCTTCTCCCACATTGCTGAAGATCCAAATATATTCCTCACACCAAGTAGGTCCTGGCTCTCTTCTCCCCAGGCCACTGCAAGGAGGTGGTGGGGTGCCTCCCCACAAGAGAGAGCCAGGGACTTCCCAGAGGAAAATGGAATACCAATGAGCCCCCACCTGTTAGAAACGGGCACTTGGTGTTGCAAAAAATTAACACTGAGACTGTGGATCAGTCAGCAAGGTCAGTTGTTACTTTCTGCAGAAAAGGTGCCACTTGATAGCAGTCTTGCAGGAGAGCACACCTGAACAAAGGATACAGGAGCATTTATAACTTGATGCAACCATCCTACTTCTGTGTCTGGTTTCCTTGGCTGGAACAGGACCTCACCCTCTAAGCTTGACCTGATTGGCTAGCAACTAAAATTTTCCTAAATAGGTAAAGGCAAGAAAGGACAAAGAAAAGAGGAAATGACTTGTGGAATGCTGAAAAAGGCAAAAGTACTCCTTAATAAGGGCAAAGGAGGAAACTATAATCTAATGCTTGCCTAGGCTTTCCCAGACATGTCAGGGTGAATATTTGGGACAGCCAAGGAAACTTTGAAGAGGAACTTCTATTTTATTTTCTACAGTAGACATGGAGACATGAGAATTTCCACTTTACCCTTCCTCCTCTTGCTAAATGCGCACAAACGCAAGTAACACCTGCTGCTAATCTATTTATTCAGAGCCTTAAATCTGCAGCTCCAAATTCTGAATCTAGGTCTTGAGATTTGAAAAATAAAAGAAAAAAAAAGCCTTTTGTCTGAGGAATCTAAGTCCTTCTAGTTGTCAAACTCAGACATTAAAATGAGAGCACAGTTATGTCTTTGTTCCCCTTTTCAATAATGTATTTATTTCTTGAAAGCATTTGCTGTTGCCACCAGTAGCTATCACTTAAACTAATAATGCTACACTGGACACTATAATTTATATTCTAAACCTTAATGATGTATGTCAAATCAATAATCAATGTTATTTCTGTAAGTAAGTAAAAATTTCTGATAAATTTGTACCTGTCCAGTCTTTCTCTTTTTTGGGCTTTACATATATACTTGTAACTAGTGCCAAGGAATGTTTAGATTTCAGTCAACTTGAATGTTTGCTCCCAGGTTATAATCCTCATGCTTGGCCCAAATAAACTGTCTACTTATATTCATGTTGCCTCAGCTTATTTCTTGTAGGTAGGCATATTATTTAGAATATGCTAGAGTAGCCTCTATGAGGGGACTTCTCTTTTGATTGTACTCCACTTGCTGTCACACCCAAGAATGCAAAGCCAGGTTGATCTGACCTAGAGTCTGCACATAAGATCAGATTTCTGCCTAGGATTCACAAGACACAGAAAGTTTTTGGATTGAGAATGTACGGAAAACAAACAGGAGACATTTCTGCATTGTAGGATGTCAACACAGATGTCTTAAAGTTACCATTTGCCAATGTGGCTCTTTGAGCTTTTCAGGTCTTGTCCAGTGACCTGTTACAGTTATGTGAGGCTCCAGGTGTAAATAGAATCTGATGTCAGAACCTTTAAGTGTAAACAAACATCTTCAGAGTAAGAGATTAAGGTCACAAAGTATCCAGAGCCACAACCAAACTATACCTACATGTTAAATGTAATACTAGAGTATTCTTGTCCTTTTTTTGTTTGTTTTTAACCCAAAATTTGGCTAATCAGAATTGATGATTAAAGTTCTAAAGCTTTACTAGGGCAGTTCAATTTTTTATTTAGCCTGAGCCTCTCTCCTCCCTTGCTTATTGATGGGACATCAGCCCAGAAGCACTGGGAATCCTCTCACAATCATCTAGACGTCTATTAGAAATCTGAAAATGTACAAAACAAAATTGTGTCAGGCTGACAAGAGTAGTTAATTCTGCTTCTGTTCAGTTTAAGTGAAATAATTTATTCTGTGTTTTCCACCCCTCGTACGTGAGATTTCTTTGGTTGGTACCCAGAAGAGAGTTTCTCCAGTTCTCTGGTAGTTGAGTGCAAAACAAGGAGGAGGTCTGGAGACTCAAACAGATAAACTAATAGTTGCTATTTCATATGGCCATTAGAAAAATAGACGAAGCAGTTATGACCTTTACCATCCAGGAACTTTTAGCCTAGGCCAGCAACTAGATAATGGCTTAATTGAGCATCATATGGTGGGTACAAGGAATAGATGTGTGCAAACAAACTTGGGTTTTATTTGGGTTGGTTACTTTATATTGTGAGTTTCTATGTTATTACCTAAAGGGATATTTATGGACAGAAGGGTTATTATTATTCCATTCTTTTTACCTTGCAAGGAATACATACTTATCTTATAAAATTATCCTAGAAAACTTTAAGGGATTTGTTTAAATTGGTTATTAGTATATGTTATAAAATTGACAGGACAGTGGCTAAAAAAGATTAAAGTTACACAAACTCTGGGATTTAAGTTTCTCTTAGGTAAGTCTATAAAAACAGAACATGAAATAGCCAGTGTTATAGAGAACAGAATTCTACATAGGATCCTCTCCCTGCCCCAGTTCTTTTTAGGTTCGCCCTCTATAAAGGTCTTACTGAGGTCTGGCCCAACCCTGGAGTTTTGCCTCACATAACTGATAAGAGATGAGAGTTTTGAATCCTTTTGCCCTTCTAGAGCTGATGCTCACAATTTTTAAAAAATCAAAAAGCAGATAAATGAGATAAATAAACTGTATATTATAGTGTCTTAATTTGTTATTATTACAATTGTTTTTTGAGACAGAATTTTGCTCTTGTTGCGCAGGCTGGAGTGCAGTGGTGCATTTTCAGCTCACTGCAACATTTGCCTCCTGAGTTCAAACAATTGTCCTGCCTTAGCCTCCTGAGTAGCTGAGATTATAGGCACCTGCCATCATGCCTGGCTAATTTTTTCTATTTTTAGTAGAGAAGGGGTCTCATTATGTTGGTTAGGCTGGTCTCAAACTTCTGACCTCTGGTGATCCACCCACTTTGGCCTCCCAAAGTGCAGGGATTACAGGATTGAGCCACCACCCCTGGCCTATTTTTTTTTTTTTTAAACAATGCTAGCAGAGAAAGTCCAGTTTGCAACTTGTTTTCTATTTCTGCAGATCCAGTAGTTTTTCCACATATCACAAAAAAGTAAATATAAACACAATACTTATTCTGCTAAACTACGTAAACTCTTTTCTGTATCCCTTTTACTTGTCTATATTTAGGTTTTATTCTATACATTAAAAAACAAATCAATGACAGACAATCAGAGGAAGAAATAAAAATGCTAGACTCCTTATCTAAAATCTGGGAATTATTCAAGACAGTACCATCTCCCAGGGTATTATGATGATTAAATCACCAATGTTTAATATCCAGTACAGTGCTCTCTAACATACTCTTGAGCATATAGTACCTGCTCAATAACATTACATTCGTCCATGTGCACATGTTGGTTTCCAAATGTAAACTTATTCAAACATGGTTGCATTCTCTTTGTTCTTGTAAACTTTAAAGAACCAAAAAAGAATAAGGAAATTGGTTGTATTCATTTTTCCTAGAAGTATGTATGTTGTGACAAGGGTGCTGAGTGTAAGGGACTCTGTGCTGTGCCAGCTTTCTCTAACTAATGCTAATCATGAGCCCAGGGGAAGCAACATCAGCATTAACAGGGAACTTGAGGCCGGGTGCTGTGGCTCACGCCTGTAATCCCAGCACTTTGGGAGGCTGAGAGGGGCGTATCACCTGAGGTCAGGAGTTCAAGACCAGCCTGGTCAACACTATGAAACCCTGTCTCTACTAAAAATACAAAAAAAAAAAAAAAAAAAAAAAAAAGCCAAGTGTAGTGGCAGGTGCCTGTAATCCCAGCCACTCAGAAGGATGTGACAGGAGAATTGCTTGAACGCGGGAGGCGGAGGTTGCAGTTATCTGAGATTGCTCTATTACACTCCAGCCTGGGCCGCAGAGCAAAACTCCATTTCAAAAAAACTAATAATAAAAAAGCTGATTTAAACAAGATGGGCACTTACTTCACAAAAGCTTCTTGAGAAATTTATCAGGAGATACCTGCTACTAGGGTGTTAAAGACTATTTAAAATCGCTGTTAAAAATTACAAACTTTAGAGGTAACTTCCAACAACATATCTTTTCCATCTGAAAAATACATATAACTGATTCTGTATGATGCAAATACAGCACTGAAAAGTGTACACATTTGTGTTTATGCCCTTAATTTTATACTTTATTATTCAGAAAAGTATTATGGATTCACTAGTGTTGTGGATCTTACGCCATTCTCTTTTCTCAGGAGTAGAGAATACATTAGGAAATACTTCTGTGTAAATAAATATTTTATTAAATAATTTCAGTCACTCTTGTAAGTCAGAACTAGTTCTGTTTACTCTCTCATTTTACCTGTAGTTGAGTTATAAATTCTGCTGTCTACCTGGTAAGTGTGTGTATGTGTCTCTATGTGTGTGTGTTTGTTTTTCAGGTACTGCTGACATTTAGAGATGTGGCCATAGAATTCTCTCTGACAGAGTGGCAATTCTTGGACACTGCACAGCGGAATTTATATAGGAATGTGATGTTAGAGAACTACGAAAATCTGGTCTTTCTGGGTGAGGATAACTTCCAACACACAATTTCAAACATACCCCAATGGTTTCACTTCTCTTTTTGGTAGAATGTGTTTTGGTAATATATGCTTTGCATAAATAAGTTTCAGATCCCTGTTTTCAAGAAAATCTTGGGGATTTGTCCATGTATAAAATAATTTCTGAAGATGTTTCATCTTGACCTGAACTTTCTACATTTCTAAGCTGATCTGTATCCTTCATTCTAGATTAGCAGTAATTTCATTAATTTAGTCACATAATATATTGTTGTCCATACCTTAAAATCTAATTGCCAACACCAAGTTTTGATTCAGTATTACTGGCTAGTGAAATTAATAACCTACAAATTTAAAATCCTCTGTGAGAAATCAGTATTTCGTGATTACATTATAAAAATATTTTATTACACTCTTTACTGAACATATTACTAGGCTGGTAATTGGAGAATATGAGCAAAATTTATCTTACTTATTTGTAATAAAACAGGTATTGCTGTCTCTAAGCCAGACCTGATCACCTGTCTGGAGCAAGAAAAAGAGCTTTGGAATATGAAGAGACATGAGATGGTGGATAAACCCCCAGGTAGGTGAGAGTGAAGGTGAACCCAATGGATAACACAGATGACAGGTCTAAATATTAAAGAGAAAGCCAGTTGTTAAAATGTGAGTTGGAAAGCTATGTCCCATTGGAATAGTTTCTGGAAAGCCTGAGTTTTTTGTTTGTTTGTTTGGTTTGGTTTTGTTTTGGTTTTTTTCCTCTCATAATTTGATATCTTCTGTTTTACACTTTTAAATTTTCTAAAGATTCTACTTTCTTTTTGGTGATCTTCTTTCAAATTTCTAGTGAGAGCAACTGTCCTCTTCATGGCATATAAAAACTGCACAGTCTGACTGATTTTACATTAATTTTTGGGAACATAAAATCTGCATAATTTTTAAAAACTCTGTTAAACAATTTTTTAAGTTTTCTTTTTGTATCGTGTAAAATGTGAGTAATTTCTGTTTCATTTTTTCTGTTCATTATTCGGCACATTTCATCTTGTTTGTATTGCTATAGTCTTGAAATAGAGTTTGAAGTTGTAAAGTATGATGCCTCTCTGCTGTTTTTTAAAGATTGCTTTGACTAAAGTTTTTTGTAGTTACATGTAAATTATAAAATTGTGTTTTCCATTACTTAAAAAAATTGTCACTGAAATTTTGATGGAGAGTTTATTGGATCTGTAGATCACTTTGGATAACATGACACTTTAGCAGTATTTATTTTTTAAATGCATAGACATAAAATATTTTAAAATTCATTTCTTTTCTAATTTTTTTAGTGATATATCACTGTAAAGATTTTTTACCTCCACTGTTAGATTTGTTCTCAGAAATTTATCATTGTAATGCTATCGTAAATAAGATTGTTTTCTTCCTCTATTTTATCAGAGAGCTTAAGTGTGTGAAACCCTATCTTGTATGTACATTTTATATTTTCCTAATTTACTGATTATATTTATTAGTTTAGACAGGTTTTTTTTTTTTTTTGGACAGAGTTTTGCTCTTGTTTCCCAGGCTGGAGTACAATGGTGCGATCTCAGCTTACCTCAGCCTCCGCCCCACAGATTCAAGCAATTCTCCTGCCTCAGCTTCCCAAGTAGCTGGGATTAATTTTGTGTTTTTAGTAGAGACGGGGTTTCTCCGTGTTGGTTAGGCTGTTCTGTAACTCCCAACCTCAGGTGATCCACCCACCCCAGCCTCCCAAAGTGCTGAGATTACAGGTGTGAGCCACCACACCCAGCTTTAGATAGGTTATAATGTACTGCTTATGGTTTTATATATATATAATATCATATGATTTACAACCAGCAAGTTTTTACTTGTTTTCAATTTCAATGGCTTTTTTATTTATCGACTAATTCTTCTGCCACATACTTTCAATGACATGTTAAAATAGAAGCACTGACAATGGGCAAAATTTACTTTTGCATTGGTGCCTGTGAATTTGAAGGAGAAAACACCTCTTCAAGTTTTTAGAAACTGCTTTCAGGAGATAAAGATTTTATTTTGTTGGGCCCCCAGAGTGATGGGATGCCCTCTGGGTTTGTAGTAAAGAATGATTGCAGTTTGGTCACAAGGCTACTGGGTCAGCACTAGGGTCTACCTTTAGTTGGCTTGGTACAAGGGGATTTGGTAGTTACAGTTGCATTTTATATTTTGGATAGATTGAATCTTTGTTGGTTGCTCTATAGGGAAGACACTAGCATAGGTTTCTGCAGTCAAGTCTGCATATGGTGGGCCTTATATCAAAATGTGGTTGAGGACAGCTTTCACTGAGTACCAGAAAGAATTTTTCCAGGTCACTGTGTGGGTTCCTAGGTAGGCAGAACTGGCCATGAACTGTGGCTGAGAGAGCTGAAACTGAATCATTGAACTGCTTCAGGGACCACAATAAAGGCCAAGGTCTGCAGGCCTGCCTGCATGGCTATAAATGAATGTCTTCCTCCAGGCCCATGGAAGGACAGGACCTCTCTCAGATTGTGGCTGGAGGGAGTTTGAGATGATTACACAGTAACTTCAGAATTCTCTGTTGTGACAAATTAGGTAGCCAGTTTCCTAGTTGTAGCTAAGAACAGGGATCCTGTAGTTTGCTACCTAAATGAGGGCCTGCCTTCTGAAAAGAAGACTTTTCAATCTTGGGCCTTATCAGATCTTCAAAATTTCCTCTTTAGATCTCAAAGCTCTGTTAAAGGCACTTATTTTTGAGATGAAGTCTTGCTGTATAATTCAGGTTGGTCTTGAAATCTGATGAGAAGCAATTCTGTAACCTGAATGTGCCATTTGGCTGTCATTACAGGTTTGAGCCATGAGGCCTGGCTCTCTCATAAAGGTATTTTTGTCAGAGATGGCTGACCAATTTGTCTTGCTGTGCAGGGAGTAAGAAAATGGGGCACATTTCATTGTTCCATCTTAATGATTTCACTCCCTTTATACATTTTTATTCTTTTATTTTCTTTTACAAATTTGTCTGTAATCATAGATTCAGAGATTTAGAATACTATTCTAGAATTTACAAGTTATGTCTGAAGTAAATTAGATAATTAGTAGACACTCCATATTTACTAAAATAGTTACTTATAAATTTAAGTTTGCTGTAGGCAAAAAGGAATTATAGGATTTGAACACACTTTTTTAGCCTATATCTAAATATCAACATACTTTATTCCCAAATATTTGTTTTATATATCAGAGGCTCTAACAATATTCTGTTATATATGTTGCACATATATATATATATGTATACACACACACACACACACACATATATATTTATTTAGCAATGTAAAGCTATTCTTTGCTTCTAAAGTTGGATTACAGCAGTTTCATTTTGTGTAAGAAGAGCATATATTTAAAACATAAAAAATATTTCTAATTTTTTTTTTTTTAAGACAGTCTTGCTCTGTCACCAGGCTGGAGTGCAGTGGCGTGATCTTGGCTCACTGCAACCTCTGCCTCCAGCTTCAAGTGATTCTCCTGCCTCAGCCTCCTGAGTAGCTGGGACTACAGGTGCGCACCACTTTGCCCGGCTAATTTTTGTAGTTTTAGTAGAGACAGGGTTTCACCATGTTGGCCAGAATGGTCTCGATCTCCTGACTTCATGATTTGCCCGCCTCAGCCTCCCAAAGTGCTGGGATTACAGGTGTAAACCACCGTGCCCAGCCAATATTTCTAGTTTTTAAAAAATGTTTATTTGAAGTTTTTAATTATAATATTTTATGATTATTCTGCATTTTCTCTGAAATTTTATAGTCATATAGTGTATGTCAATGATTTAATATACCTACCTTCCATGAGTACACAGTTAGTCAAATATTGTAGTTATCTAGACAAATTCTTTCTTAATAGTATATCGGCCAGGCGCGGTGGCTCAAGCCTGTAATCCCAGCACTTTGGGAGGCCGAGGCGGGTGGATCACGAGGTCAAGAGATCGAGACCATCCTGGTCAACATGGTGAAACCCCGTCTCTACTAAAAATACAAAAAATTAGCTGGGCATGGTGGTGCGTGCCTGTAATCCCGGCTACTCAGGAGGCTGAGGCAGGAGAATTGCCTGAACCCGGGAGGCGGAGGTTGCGGTGAGCCGAGATCGCGCCATTGCACTCCAGCCTGGGTAACATGAGTGAAACTCCGTCTCAAAAAAAAAAAAAAGAAAAAATAGTATATCAATATTGCAAACCAGAATTTATGAAATAAACATTTATTATTGTTTTTCAGTCTATATTGGTTTTATAATGTAGATTTCTTAACATCAGTTCATCGTGATTTTAGACTTATGTACTATAATACTAGATAATTTGCAATTCTATTTGTACACTTTAAGCCGATGTGGAGTTTAACTATAAATCAGCAATATGCCTATCATAGTCGGATTATATACGTGTGCATTTATTTAAATACAAACCTAATTTAATTTATGGCTTATCTCATATATATTCTTTCTTAGCTGAATGGTTGTTTTATCTTGTCTAAGTAGTCAGGGAAATAGTCTTATTTTCACCATGTGTTTAATGATGAATATATATTTCTTTGATGTGAAAGAAACACTTTTGTGATTTAAAGGTAACTTTTGAAAAAATATCACTCTGTATGTTTTCAGTTTTTCTTTGAAAAACATTTTTTGTAAAAACACATAAAATTTACCATCTTAAATATATTAAAGTGTATATTTCAGGGCCAGGCAGGCATGGTGGTAGCTAATATCTGTCATCCCAGGATTTTTGGCGGCAAAGACAGAAGAATAACTTGAGCCCAAAAGGTTGAGACCATCCTGGGAAACGTATGGAGATTCTTTCTGTACAAAAAAAAGTATAGAAATAGCCAGGCATGGCGGTGTGCACCTGTAGTCTCAGCTCTTTAAGGAGAATGATGATGGAGGATTATGTGAGGCTGGGAGTTTGAGGCTACGGTGAGCCATAATTATGCCACTCCCCTCAAGCTTGGGTGACAGAGTGAGACCCTGTCTTAAAAAAAAAAAAGAAAAAGCTGTACATTTCAAGATTGTTTAGTATATTCACATTGTTATATAAAAGAGTTCTATAATTTCTTATTTTTTGAAAGTTAACACTCAATACACGTTAAGTAACAACTGCCCATTTTGCCCTCTCCCCAGCCCTTGATAAACACCCTTCCATGTTTTGTTTCTATACATGTGACTAATTAAGATATATAAGTGAATCATATAGTATCCATAATTTTGTTACTTGCTTATTTCATGTGACATATTATCATAATTTATTTTAAAATACAAGATTTACTTAAAGCTGAATATTACTCCATTGTGCGTGTACATGTGTGTGTATAGATATACACACACATATATAGTGTATATATATATATAACAGAATACTTTATGTTTATATATATAAACATAATGTTATATATATGTATGTATATAAAACATGTTTTTTAATGTGTTTATAAGTTAAGGAACACCTAAGTTATTTTGGCCTTTTAGCTTTTGTGAATACTGATACAATAAACATGAATGTTCAAATGTGTCTTTCAGGTCCTATGTTGCATATTTTAGATATAGATTCATAAATGAGATTGCTATATTTGATTATACTTTTATTTTTAATTATTTGAGAAACACTTATACATTTTTTTTTTTTTTTGAGACGGAGTTTCGCTCTTGTTACCCAGGCTGGAGTGCAATGGCGCGATCTCGGCTCACCGCAACCTCCGCCTCCTGGGTTCAGGCAATTCTCCTGCCTCAGCCTCCTGAGTAGCTAGGATTACAGGCACGCGCCACCATGCCCAGCTAATTTTTTGTATTTTTAGTAGAGATGGGGTTTCACCATGTTGACCAGGATGGTCTTGATCTCTTGACCTCGTGATCCACCCGCCTCGGCCTCCCAAAGTGCTGGGATTACAGGCTTGAGCCACCGCGCCCGGCCGACACTTATGCATTTTTAAATAATGGCTACATTCTTCATTTCTACCAACATTCTACATGACTTTTTATTGCGTCATAAACAAATTTGGTATTTCTAAAAAATTGATAGTTGCCATTCTATTAAGTGTAAGATTATTTTGTTTTTCAATGTAATTGTTATTCATTTCTTTACAAATAGTAATTCTGCATGTCTTTTCAAAGGTTTTTTCCATTTATATATCTTGATAAAAATTTAGTTCAATTGTTTATTTCTAAATCAAGTTATTGAACTTCATTGATCGGTTTTAAGCGTTGCTTATATATTTTTCATATTAACTCCTATCATACGTGATTTGCAAATATTTTCACCCATTTTTTAAAAGGCATTGTCAATTAAATTTTTCTTTGACATGCAGAAATTTTGAAGAATGGTGTAGTTATTTTTTTCCATTTTTTTCTTTGTTGCTCATTCATTTAATGTTGTACTTAAGAAAATGGTGTGTCAAGACCAATGTCTTGTCTTCCCCCTTTATTTTTTTCTGAGAGATTTGTTAGGTTTTTTTTTATATCTAAGTACTTTATTTAAAATGCTTTTCATATCTGTTTCAAGGAAATGATCTCATTTTATCAGTATTGATACCTGGTTTTCAACATGATTTTTTTGAAGAGATTATCTTCTCTCTATTGTGTGCTTATGGCAACTTCAGGGAAAATCATTTGATTGTATACAGAAGGGTTTATTCCTGGGCTTTCTATAATGTTCTTTCATCTGTTTATCTGTGTGTCAGCACCACATTGCATTATTTAGCTTTTAATATGTTTTGAAATCAGAAGGAATAATGCCTCCTTGTTCTTTTAATGGGTGTTTGGCTATAGTTTATAATTAAATTTAAAAATTTTAATGTTTGTACAAAATTGTGCTATTGGGATTTTTATAGAGATTGTAATAAATATGTTCACCACTGTAGGTTTTATTGACATCTTTGAATGATTAAATTTTTTTACCTTTACAGCAAGAATATGTTAAAAAGTATGTTTTATGTTCATATATATTTGGATTTGCAAGTTTTAATTTTAAAACTTAATTTCTGTGTTATTTGGTTTTGGTCAGAAAACATGTATAATTTTGGCCTTCTTAAATTTATGTCTTGTTGTTTGAGACAGGATCTTACTCTGTCACCCAGGCAGTAGTGCAGTGGAATAATTTTGGCTCACTGTAGCCATAACCTCCCAGGCACAAGTGATCCTTTCACCTCAATCTCCCTAGTAGCTGACACTACAGAAGTTCTTTACCATGCCTCGCTAATTTTTTGATTATTTGTAAGGACAGGGTTTCACTGTGTTGCCCAGGCTGGTCTCAAATTTTTGGCCTCAAGTGATTCTCCCATCTTGATCTTCCAAAATGTTGAGATTATAAGCATGAGCCACTGCACCCAGCTGGTATTCTCAAATTTAATAAGATTTGGTATGTGTCCTAACAGACTATACCAGGTGCAAATAAGCATATGGTGTATTATCTTGTTTTTGATTTAAAAAGTTTCTACATGTCTGTTAAGCTGAATTGATCTACAGTATTGTTTGGATTTCAATGTTCTCCAAACCTTATGCTGTAATGTAATCCTGAGTGTTTAATGTGGGACCTGGTGGGAGGTGTTTGTGTCATGGGGGCAAATTTCTCATTAATGGGTTGGCACTACGTTTTTATTAATCAAAGTGCTTACACTCTGTTAATTCAAAGGTTGGTTCATTAAAAGAACCTAGCTTCTTTACCTCACACTTGCTCGTTCTCTTACCATCTAATATGTCCTGTTACTCTTTGCCTTTCACCATAATTGTAAGCTTCCGGAGATTCTCACCAGAAGCAGATGCTGGTACACACGTTTTCTACAATCTGCCAAACAAACCAAAAAACAAACAAAAAAAAACCCCTCTTTGTTTTATGAATTAAACACTCTCACATATTTCTCTCTGTAAAACAATTGAAGTTGGAAATTTACTTTGAATGGCATTATGTTATATTGGGGAGCAGATAAAGCTGTCTTAGGTAAATATAACAGACTTTTTTTTCTCTTCTATGAGGCTCCTTATATTGTGCTCACCTGGGGCACCGCACACAAATTTATAAGTTTTACACAAAAGTATTTTGGTCAGTATGTGCTTGTTAAGTTTATATGTCTAGGAAGAAATTATGGTCTGTGATATTTTACTATGCCATCTTGCTTATGTAGTTTGTGAAATTTTATAGATTAGACTTGGGAAGTATATTCATTCGAGTCTAGCAATTAATGTGTTATTTTTGTTTCTTTCAGTAATGTGTTCTCATATGATCCAAGACCTTTTGCCAGAGAAGAACATAGAAGATTCTTTCCATAAAGTTACACTGAGAAGAGATGAAAAATATGAACATACAAATTTTCTGTTAAAAGAAGGCTGTAAAAGTGTGGATGAGTGTAAGGTGCAAAAAGAAGATTATAATGAACTTAACCAATATTTTCCAACTATCCAGAGCAAAATATTTAAATGTGATAAATGTATGAAAGTCTTTTATAAATTTTCACATTTAAATACACATAAGTTAAGACATACTGATAAGAAACCTTTCAAATGCAAAGAATGTGGCAAATTATTGTGTATGCTTTTACACCTAACTCAACATAAAAGAATTTATACTACAGTGAATTTTTACAAATGTGAAGAATGTGGCAAAGCTTTTAACTATCGCTCAGCCCTTACTACACATAAGATAATTCATACTGGAGAGAAACCTTATAAATGTGAAGAATGTGGCAAAGCATTTAATCGGTTTGCAAACCTTACTAGACATAAGAGAATTCATTTTGGAGAGAAAGTCTACAAATACGAAGAATGTGGTGATGCTTTTAATCAATCCGCAAACCTTACTACATATAAGATAATTTATACTGGTGAGAAACCCTACAAATGTGAAGAATGTGGCAAAGCTTTTAACTATCGCTCAACCCTTACTACGCATAAGAGAATTCATACTGGAGAGAAACCCTACAAATGTGAAGAATGTGGCAAAGCTTACACAGAACCTGCAACCCTTAATAGACATAAGAAAATTCACACTGGAGTAAAACCATACAAATGTGAAGACTGTGGCAAAGCTTTTACATACTCTGCAACCCTTACTAGACATAAGATAATTCATACTGGAGAAAAACCATACAAATGTGAAGAATGTGGCAAAGCTTTTAACAAATCCTCAATGCTTACTGCACATAATAGAATTCATACTGGAGAGAAACCCTACAAATGTAAGGAATGTGACAAAGCTTTTAACCAATCCTCAAAACTTGGTAAACATAAGAAAATTCATAATGGAGAGAAAACCTACAAACATAAAGAATGTGGCAAAGCTTTTAATCAGTCCTCGAAGCATACTACACATAAGATAATTTATACTGGTGAGAAACCATACAAATGTGAAGAATGTGGCAAAGCTTTTAACTATCGCTCAAACCTTACTACACATAAGAGAATTCATACTGGAGAGAAACCTTACAAATGTGAAGAATGTGGCAAAGCTTTTAACCGGTTTGCAAACCTTACTAGACATAAGAAAATTCATACCGGAGAGAAACCCTGCAAATATAAAGAATATGGCAAAGCTTTTAATCAATCCTCAAACCTTACTACACATGAGATAATTTATACTGGTGAGAAACCCTACAAATGTGGAGAATGTGGCAAGGCTTTTAATTATCGCTCAACCCTTACTACACATAAGAGAATTCATACTGGTGAGAAACCCTACAAATGCGAAGAATGTGGCAAAGCTTTTAACCAGTTTGCACACCTTACTAGGCATAAAAGAATTCATACCGGAGAGAAACCCTACAAATGCGAAGAATGTGGCAAAGCTTATACAGAACCTGCAATCCTTACTAGACATAAGAAAATTCACAGTGGAGAAAAACCATACAAATGTGAAGACTGTGGCAAAGCTTTTACATACTCTGCAACCCTTACGAGACATAAGATAATTCATACTGGAGAAAAACCATACAAATGTGAAGAATGTGGCAAAGCTTTTAACAAATCCTCAATGCTTACTGTACATAAGAGAATTCATACTGGAGAGAAACCCTACATATGTAAAGAATGACAAATCTTTTAACCAGTCCTCAAAACTTGGTAAACATAAGAAAATTCATACTGGAGAGAAACCTTAGAAATATGAAGAATGTGGCAAAGCTTGTGCACACTCTGCAACCCTTACTAGACGTGAGATAATTCATACTGTAGAGAAACCATACACAGGTGAGGACTGTGACAAAGCTTTTAACAAATCCTCGATGTTTACTGCACATAAAAGAATTCATACTAGAGAGGAACTGTACAGATGTGAAGAATGTGGCAAGCTTTTAACTATCGCTCACACCCTACTACACATAACAGAATTCATACTGGAGAGAAACCATACAAATGTGAATAATGTGGCAAAACTTTTAACTGATTTTCAACCCTTACTAAACACAAGAGAATACATACTGGAGAGAAATTGTATAAATGTGTAGAATGTGGCCAAGATTTCAACTGATCCTCAGCACTTACTGAACATAAGAGAATTCATATTGGGGAGCAACCTTACAGACGTGAAGAATGTAACAATGCTTTTAATCAATCTGCAAACATTAACCCTAAGAAAACTTATACCAGTGAGAAACTTTACAAAACCAAAATGTGTGATAACAATTTTGACAACACCTCAACCTTTTCTAAATATAAAAGTAATCGTACTGGTGACAGATCATAGAAATGTGAAGAATGTGACAAAACCTTCAAAACGTCTGACTTATTTTTAAGTAAGATAATTTTTACTGGAGAAAACACAAGTGTAAATATTGTGAAACTTCTAATTAATGTTCACAACTTACTGCACAGGAATGCACTTAAGAAAAATTGTACAAATAAAAATAATGTGAAATAACCATTAATATCTGATCATATCCTACTCAACATTAGAGAGTTGGTAAACAAAGCATATAAATGGAATTACTGTAATATATATATTACAGTATATATTATATATAATAAATGAAATTACCATAATATATATATACTACAGTAATTCCATTTATTATATATATGCCTTTAAAGAAGAGGCCTGGTGTGGTGGCTCATGCCTGTAATCCCAGCACTTTGGGAGGCCGAGGTGGGTGGATCAAGGGGTCAGTAGTTCAAGACCAGCCTGGCCAACATGGCCATAGAAACACCATCTCTACTAAAAATACAAAAATTAGCCAGGCATGGTGGTACACACCTGTAATCTTAGCTACTCGGGAGGCAGGGGCAGGAGAATTACTTGAACCTGTTGTGGTGAGCTGGGATCACACCACTGCACTCCAGCCTGGGTGACAGAGCAAGACTCCATCTCAGAAAAAAAAAATAAAGAGTATTCATTTTGAAGACAAAGACTACAAATATAAAGAGGGTTGTAGTAGCTTTACTTGTATCACAGATTTGATTGTACACATTTTGTACTAGAGAAAAACGAAGCAGTTTCTCAAACTTTGCTCCACATCAGGAAATTTATATTGGGGAAAAAAAAATCTTGCAAAAGTTATAAATTTGGAGAAAAATTGTTTCAATAACTATTGCTTAGAAAACTCCAGAGGTTTCATACTAAAGTATATTTTTGCAGATGTAGTAAATATGAAAGAATGTTTAATCCAAAATGAAGTCTATGTAAATATCAGAAAATTCACAGTAGAAATACCTAAGGCACCGAAGCTATAGATGTTACGGTAAATCAGAGTGCTGAGTATAGAAAACAATCAGAACTAAAGTTGGTAAATAAATTATTTGTATGTCACTTTAAAAGAAGTAGAGTTTTTTAAGTGTTATAATTACATTCAGAGTATACTTTTGTCCTTAAAATCACCGATATTTTAAAACATGAATAATGATGCAATTCTCTGAAATTACTTCAGGCTCTTTTTTTCATTCCTACTGTATTCACCTGTGAAAGCATGTTACTAAGTGTTACTGCATCAAAAATACAAGTTTTTTTTTTAATTAGTAGGGATTATTTATGACCTTTTCTATGGAAGGGAAAGGGAATTAAAATGTAAGACACATGATGAAATTCTAAGTGGAGAGACTCTTTTTGGTTAACACATAGTATTAAGTAATGCATGAGTTAGGTGTTCAGAGTAATATTCTACATTATAGTGATAACATTTTAAATTTTAGTTAAAATTTAATAATACATTATTTTAATAATGGTACTGTTATGTATTAGAATATAGTACATTATTACATTTTTAGATTGTGTGAACTGAATTTTTTAATTAAAGTTTAAAAAAAGTTAAAACCATTGTGCATTCAATAAAGTGTTATTATACCATTAACTTTAACCTAGTCAACCTTACTCAAAGATGTAGGTAAAAGATGGTAATAATATACTATTTGGTAACACAATGAACTAACATTTCTAGTAATCTCTTTTGCAGTGACTTTAAACAGAGCAGTTAAAGAATATTGTTCCTATAGGTTAAATATTTATTCCTTTTCTCTTATTTTAGTTTTCTTAATTTTTGTGGGTCCATAGTATGTGTATGTATTTATGCTATATATATAGCCTGTTTGAATACAGAAATAAAAAAGATAATAATCACATCAGGATAAATTAAGTATTCATCATTTCCAGCATTTATCCTTTGTATTAGGAATGAATTCTACACTTTTTGATATTTTAAAATGTACAATTAAATTGTTATTCATTACAGCGTCATCTTTTTGGTCACAATAAAAATTATGTACAATTATAAAAATTTGTACACTTCGGAGTCCAGAATAAACTTAAAAATTGTTAATTTTTTTTGAAAATATGGTATCTGCCGGGCGCGGTGGCTCAAGCCTGTAATCCCAGCACTTTGGGAGGCCGAGGCGGGTGGATCACGAGGTCAAGAGATCGAGACCATCCTGGTCAACATGGTGAAACCCCGTCTCTACTGAAAATACAAAAAATTAGCTGGGCATGGTGGCGCGTGCCTGTAATCCCAGCTACTCAGGAGGCTGAGGCAGGAGAATTGCCTGAACCCAGGAGACGGAGGTTGCGGTGAGCCGAGATCGCGCCATTGCACTCCAGCCTGG